GTGCACGCATTGTTCAATGCGAGGAGAGCAAAAAGCACGTCTTTGGTTTCACATCATTAAGACTGTTGTGCTGATGAGGTTAGCTGTCATCTACTTTGCGATCAGAGAAAGCTCTAAGGATAATTTGTCACAGTAGTAATGGGGACATGCGTGACGCCGCAGTAACTGCTATGCGACTGCTTCACGAAACTTGCAATCAAAACAATTTAAATCAGAACTACTCTTTTGCATGTAGGGCTAGGAACATCTGACTTGTTTGTCCAATGGCCAGATTTGAGCTGTGACATAGTGCGCTTGCATGATTATTACATGATCCCTTGACACTACCATCATGACACATTAGAGTTTGTTTTTTTCAGGCGTGATTCACAATCCGAAGGCGTTCGTGCGGGACTTTTACTTCTTCAAGCGGTCCCAGTATCCTCAGCTGAGTCTCATTCACGTCGACCCAGAGGAAGCCTACAACGCCATGCAAAACAACGTGTTCTATCTGAAAATGCTAGAGATCGGGAGACATTGAAAAGAGTTTTAGCAATGCTCATGCAGACCAGCAGATCAGGTGTGTTTCGGCGTAACATTAAATGGCTTAATATGTTCACGTGATTTTTTCTTTCATGAACTCAAGATGATGCAGCTGTCATGTGCGCAGTAGTCGCAGAGGTGAATAATGTCCGAAAGAATTGCGATAGCATAGAGATCCTGGGAGCTCTGAACGTCCCCTGAGCGGACAGCAGCATTAGTTCATTTTGATTCGATGCATTGGGCAAACCAGACGAGCTACCGTGAAACTTCTCAGCTGCAAAAAAAGCACGGTTGGCCCTTTGGGGTTGATTTCAACTACGCCTCTTTAACGCCCTTTGGCCAGGCCGTCAAGATCTTTGTTAAGCACTACGAGATAATGTCATCACACATGCTTCTTTTGATGTAGCTGAACATTGCGTTAATTTGGACATCAAGGATACCTTAATAGACTGCCTCAAAAATATGTTTCTGGTGAACTGCGTCCTAATAACGCCTGCGAAGGTCTCATTTGCATGTTACGTTCTTTATCTTATTTGATCTTCCATATCTTAGCGTGAAGCATCTAGCATATTTGAACATGAATGAGGAAATCTGCCTCCTCATCTGTGACTGCGTGCGATTCCAGGTTGTGTACCAGGTCCTCACGGAGTGTCTAAGTAGTTCGTGGATGTGCTAGCCTAACTGGTAACGCAGCAATCAGCGAAGCAATGTATTCTACAGGTGGCACAGCGGGTGTTCTTCCTCCACGAGGAGCTGACCAAGCTGCCGGCGTTCCCGCGCAAGGCTCTTGAAACCGAGTTCCACCTCTACAAAGGAGGTCATCTTGGAAAGGTGACAAAATTGCTATAGGATGCTTACTCCCGCGCAGCGGAAACCTCGTCACTTTGTTTGCAGCATTTAAGCTGTCACCTTCTCATGTTTTTGTGGCCAGCGATGGGTGTTGACAAGTCAGAATGGGCGGAGAAGCAAGCAGGTACGATCAAACGCATCCTAAACCTGATCCCAAATCATGATTTCCCGAAATCTTCGTGAACCATGTTCGAGGTGTTGGAGGGAGCGGCGATACTGGCTACAAATCTACAAGGATGCTGAGCAGAGGCACTAGTGACTCCAGAAACTCTCGTCTGCATGGGAGAGAAAGCCTCTGTGATATAGTGCGTAGTTAAGTCTGGTTACCTAATCATGTGGCATAGTTAAGTATGCCATCTCCACAGAACAGACCTTTCACCTTTGCCTTACGTTGATGCAAGGGAGGGGATTGGAATGGGAAGATAGGTGGCACCGCCGGCGACGCGCCGGGATCGTGATAATTTGACCGGGTCCAGATCTGGCTAACGCGCGATTTGGCCAACCTCATAATGCGGCAGTAGGAGAGCTTGCGACGTTAACACCCGCGGTAGCTCTTCGGAGGTTAGGCAATGAAATTGCGACAGCTCAATGACCTTCCAGGAGCTGAAATGCCTGGATAGCATGCACAAGCTGATTTGGGTGAAGATGATGTCGCGCATGTTCGAGGGTATGGCCGGGAACTTCGCCTACTCCGGCGACATTCACCTCTTCATCAACGTGGTGAACGGCTGCTTGCTGCTGCACTGCGAAGACAGCGCGATGCTGCGGCTCGTCATGGCTACCTACATCAGCGCCGCCCACCAGTTCAAGAACGTGTTCTCCAGCAACGGGTGGGTCGGATGCCGAACCGCTGGCCATATCGGTAGGATAGGTCCATTTGGATATAATTTTAACGATCAAGCACCCCTTTGGGTGTAATCGATAGAAGAAATTTTGGACGTCTGTTTCGTTCGACGTTTGTTACTGACCGAGATGCCAACCGTACGAACAAAGATACCAGGAGTAATTTACTTTCCAGCTGCAAATGCCTCTGCTGCCGCTCTGGCTGTGCTGAGTAGTGCTCTGCTCTGACCAACCCTTCGACTAACGCTGTATCTCTTTTCCCCCAGGTACCTGCTGATCATGCCCACCATCCTTCAGGTGTACAGCAACCACCAGTCGAATTCACTGCTCTGCAGGACTGTAGAGTTTATCTGCAAGCAGTTCTACGTGCTACATCGCAAGCCGTTCGTGTTGCAAATGCTGGGAAGCATTGCTCCCATGCTGGACCTGAACACAGACTCTCCGTTCGCTGATGCCAACAAGGTCCGCTTGGCTTAACGTTGTCTTGCAACAAGGTTGCAAGACAACGTTACGCTCGGCTGAACATTGTCTTTGATGGCGTCGAACTTTTGCGCTCAAGAAGAAGGGGGATGATTTGCCAAAACTCACTTTTTGGTCATCTGTCGACAAACACTACATTACGACCACTTGTATATCATTGCCTTCAGGCTTATCATGGCTTTGTGAGCCAAGCGACTCCAATAGGATGAAGAGAGGCATATCGCTGGCCTCTTAGCTTGCCACTGCTCACTGTGTCGCTAGAGTGAGGCTGCGGCCTGCTCCGGCTGGAGACAGCCCGCTGATCTGCGCTGCCTGGCCGCCCGCGCAGATCCAGCCGGACACGCTGTTCCGTCTGCTGATATCTCTGGAGACGCCCTCGCCGGACCCGCTCAACACCATCGAGCTGGTGACCATCGAGAAGCCACTCCGCGCGCTCGACTTCTGCTACCACGAGGAGACGGACGACGTCACCATCATGGACGTCATCAGCCTGTGCGTGACGGTGGTGGCGTACGCGGCCGACAGCCGGCGCGCGCACCAGATGCTGAACGTGCTGGAGGCAGTGATTCCGTTCTACCTGCGTCACGTAGAGCGCATCTCTAGCGTGGCCACGTCGGCGGGCCCCAAGGCCGAGCTGAAGGGCGAGAAGGAGGTGATCCACCAGCTGGCGCTGTCCATCAAGACGCTCCTACACAACTGCGAGCCGTTGGCCAAGTGAGGCCGGGGTGGGGGACGGGTCGCCATTCGAAACACGTGTGCACGGGTTCCATACTCACGGTCACTTTCATGGAATTCCACGGATTCCAATTTTTTAGTGTGTTGAGTTTTGGTTGACGTTTTGGGCATAACTATTGGGTACTACAAGTTTGCATCGTTCTGGTGTTTACTGCAATGCCTTTTGTGTTGATTCCGCACAGGTATTCACGTGTCTGAAGTAACTATTTCGCTTCCATGTTCTAGCTTAGCGAAGGGATTACAACTTCCCTTTCACGTCAACCATATTGAAGGCAATCGATTTCATCCGTTCGGAATATCATCAGAATAACATGTGCATGGGCTGCGCCAGGGAAATGCTGCGACACATCAGAACATACAATGTCAATCTCCGCAGGAACTACACGGGTCCGACTCGTGGCAGCACCGAGTTCAAGACGTCCAGCATGAAGACGTTCACCAGGACGGCGGCGCAGGAGGCGCACAACGCCGCACTCGACCTGGACGAGGACTCACACTCGCGCATGTTTGTCAGCGACACGAGACGCACCAACTTCATGGAGCGTGATATGGAAGACTCCGAGGCGAGTGGAGCACGGTGGCCCAGCTCATAGAAAAAACGACTTTCGCGACACTGAACTGTCCGGCTGATGTGTCCCTAGCGCTAGTGCCAGGCCGACGCCGGTGTCGGCTGTCGCAGCCGCGTACGGGGTAGATGCGGTATTGGTCATGTGTTCTAGACGCAGTGTTGGCCATGGCGTGAGAGGCCTGTTGGAAACGCCAGCCCACCCTGGACGAGATGATGAGCTGATACCGTCGGCCACTGTTGGGCCTGCAGGTGCTGCGCGAGGCCTTCCGTCGGCCGCGAGACACCCTGCTCAACATCGTGGCCGACTTCCTTACCCGCTGCTCGGCCAGACTGCAGGAGCTCAGCAAGAAGCCGGTCGCTGGAAGCGAGAGCAAGCAGGTCGAGTTGCTGGATGCAAAATGCCACAGCGTGAGTCCAGGGAGGTGGTCAGCCACTTAGGAAAACACCCTGTAGTGACTGTTACAGTCGACGCATGAAGGAAAAAGTTCCATGTGGCATGACACAGCCTACATGATGTTGATGAATAGAATCATGTTAAGCTGCGAGTTGCGAGTCGCACGCCGCAGTGTGGCACCGTGATCTGAACGGCTGGCATTCCTTCGTGGAATGTTTCTGTTTCATGCGTCGATGCTTTTCGCGAGCGGAAAAGACAAGGCGGTGCAGCAAACTGGCTTTACATGTTGCATTCCCTTGCGGTGATTCAGCTCATGATGACCTCGCCTGTTTCCTGTAAAACGGAACGTAAGGACTTAAGTCGGTGCTGACCTTTTGGCGGCTCATGGACGTTTGCCATATTCTTTCAGAATCGCACACCGATTTAATTCATGTCAGGGGGATATGCAGATCTTAAGGTTCCCAAGTAACCGTTCTGGCATCGCCCCTCAAGTCCCACAGGTTTAGGCCTGGGGTCATTCACTGTCCGATAAAGTCCATTTTTCTGGGCGTCCTGGACAGTGTCAACTACCGCCATTGTGGGTGGCGTTTCGTGACCCTTTGTCGTGGCCGCGTTCTGAGACGTTGCGTGTTCTGCTGCGCAGCGTCTGGCAGAGATCGCACACAGTCTGCTGAAGGTGGCCCCCCTACGATCCGGAGACAATGTCGTGCCGTGGCCTGGTCAAGTACAATGAACCAGATCCTCACGTACCCGGACTGGTCTCAAGAGGCGCTCAAGCCGACACTCATCATCATCACGCGCCGACTGGAGAAGGTCTTCACGAAGATACTCAAAAAGAGCTTCATCAGGGTATGCGGTGACCTCAGACATGGGTTGTAGGTGCGGAGTAGGGTGTGAGTTATCTTGGCGCCATATCGTCGGGACAGTTGTCAGCTTCAACTTCTCCATAACCCCCCCCCCCCCCCCCCTCTCTCACCATTTGGCTCATCATCGTCGGAAGTTCCGGCTCACCGGGCCAAAGCCGTGCTAGTTGCGCCGCCCTCGTCCCGAGGTACCCGAGGACCCTCAGCGGACCGAGACCCCTCTGGGCTGACCTGTCACCCTTCCCATCTCCAGCGTCACACCGACTGGGTGGCAAGCCGCCAACCTGCTCAAAGGCGTGTACAACCACGCTCTGCAAGTACCCGTACATCGCGCACCTGCCGCCGCTGAAGGCGCTCATCCTCATCTGTCAGTCGCTGATCGTGGGCGAGAGCGGCGCGGCGGCAGCGGACGGCGCGGCCGCCGACAACCGGCGCCGCCGTCCACTACCCGCCGCCCCAGCACTTCGCCTCCACCGTAGGTCCGGCTCATAGCCATGCAGATGTTGGCGCAGGGGGTACGTGACAGCGAGGGGCAGACCAGCCCGTCAGCCATGTGGAGTAGACCTCTAGGCCTCGCGCGTTTTTTTATGACTGCGAGCTTCCAGTGCTGCGCTGGTGACGCTGGTGGCCGAGTTTTGGATAGATGTGTTTCGTGGCGGGGCGGATTTTCGTAGTGTATGAATATGCGCGGCTTCATTTGTTTTCAGGGCGGTACTCCCTTTGCCATCCATTGCGATTGGTGGTTTCCGTTTAACTATAAGTCAAACCATAACCCCCACTGCTCTGGTGTTTCAGATGTTTGAGCACATATCGTTGGTGAGGAAATAAAAATAGCCTGATAAAACAAAAATGCACATTAGATATTAGCGAATAGTTCAACCGGGCGTGTTCAACCAGAAAAGAACTAAGGAGCATACACCATCTGAACTCTTGTGCCGTAGACGGTATTAGTTTTGTGGCTTGCTATCACTTAGGGGATCAGTATCGTCCAAATATCTTCGCTTTGTGCATTGCCTCAGTCACAATTAAACCAGCTGGTTGAACACCTCTGAATAAACAGTGTTCAACAGCTGTTAATCTAAATTTTTCTGGCCCTTCTGCATCACTGATCGTGCCGCCTGGGCACACGAGTGTCTTAGAACCCTATGCTCGATCTCCTGTTTGGACGCTACTCATTTTGCCTTTGCGATTTCAGAACATCCCATGTCTGGTGTCCATACCAGCGCGACGCATGCTCGGGCCGTAGCGGGTAGTCTGCTAGCCATCCAGTTTTATTAGTCTGCAATAGACGCACCGCGCTTGGCAGTAGACCACGGTTCGCTGGGCGATAAGCGCAAGGATATTCAGTTGGCGGTTGCGATTAGTTTGTGCGTATGCGTTTGTGCATCTCCTTCGAACACTCTTCCGCACATGAGACAATGCGCACTTCTTCCCGACTCCACAAACTGACGTTATGACTGGCATCGTGATGATTCGTGGAAAAGCTGCCACGTGGTGGTCAATATTTTGTGGATATTTCAACAAGCGACTATTGGGAAACATACCTTGTTGCAGACATCGTATATAAATGACGCAGTTATTTCCAGGCATCTGTTGAAAGAATGCATCGTCTACATATGTAAACAGGGCATACACATATGGTGTGATAACAAATCGCAATCTTGCTACGCACACCTGATGCCAGGTACTATTTCTAATTAAGACATAACAACTTGTTAGTGAAATCCGCATGAGGTACTTCTAATTGGCCAGATAATGCTGCCCCCCGCCCTCGGAAATTGACGTGCAAGTTGCCGTGCCGCGCAAGCCAGACAATTACCGTGAGGATCATAACACGCTTAACTAGTGTGGCCTGAAGGGCTGACGTGTTGTGTGGCATGCAGGAGGCGCATTCGCTGGAGCAGGGTGTGTGGTGGAAGTTCCGTCTTCCCCAGCCCCGAAAAGACGGAGAACATGCTGATGAATCTGCTGCTGCCACTCTGTCTCAGGGTTGGTTGCGGACGAACAGGTAAGTTGTTGTCCAAGGCACCGCCATAGCCACGCAAGCATTGTTACGCATGATATTGGAAATTTTTTAGTCAATTGGGGCACCAGCACAGTCATATTTCGCCTACAATGTAAAACGTTGCTGTGTGATGTCTCACACGTGAGTCTTTTTTTGGAAAAAAGGCAAAACGGGTGGGTATAGCTTAACATCAATATGGTCTGCATCTTTGCAAGTTCGTACTTTTACTACGGCAGTTCACACTGTTTCATAGCACCCAAGACCTGACAAGAGCTAATTTGGTAATGATCCCCGTTATCACACTGCACGTTGCTACCCTGGCCAATGACGTCGGGCCTAGTGAGGCATCACAAGGGCGCTCATTGATAAGGCCTGACCACGTGCTCGATTCATCTCGAATGAGTCAAGCACGATGACGCTACTTACCCTGCTCCCTTCCCTCGCCCAACGCGTCTGTTGTTTTGACGTTCTCTCCCGTTTGCTTGTTTGCAGACGTTCCCAAGATGCGGCAGGCGGACATCAGCTTCGCGCTGACCGTGATGCTACACGCTCTGCAGCCGCCGGCCTCGACGAAGCTGACGCCGGGCCTGGCAGCCGGCGCCGCCGGCGCCAGCGGCCTCAACAAGACCGAGGCCGGCCAGCACTCGACCAGCGAGGCGCGCACCCACAGCGCCGTACGGCCGTCCATCTACTCAGTGGCGCTGGGTGGGTGGGCAGACCACGAGGCGGCACCGTTACGCCAGCCGAGTGTGACTCGCGCTCGCGGCGTCGGGTGCAGGAGGATGATGGGAGACAGCTGTGCCTAATGCTGTGCTGCCCAGTCACGCGTGTTCCAGTTTGAGCCTGTCCGATGCTTGCGCTTCTGCTCCCCCGAGCACCGAAGTTGTCATCCCAGCACAGGGCGGGGTGGAGCTGAACTCTGACGACGCCACTAACCTTCCCAGGGCTGAAGATCCTGTTGATCTGCTTCGAGAAGAACCTGGCCATGGACTGGCACCGCGTGGCGCGCACTGTGCAGGAGCTGGGGTCACAGGGCTGCGGAGGCCTGGCACTCTGGGACTTCCTGGACTTCGTCGTCACCTACCCCACACCCGTCTTCGTCCTGCTACTGCCCTTCATCAGACAGCATGTGAGCGCCGGCGCGCACGCTGGGAGACTCTCGCGTGAGATACAAGTTGAGGGAAGCTACCAAAGTGTTATGCAGGAGAGCATGACGTTGTGTAGGAAAGAGTCAGGCTGAAGGTATCGTGTATGTGTATCCGCACTCGCGCAACCTCCGCACCTTCGAAACGACCAGCCCATCTTGGACGACACGTCATAATACTCAGATACGTATGAAAACCATTCGGTGAAATGTAACGGTTACCTTGTCTCGATACAAAAAATCGAAAAACTATCGCCGTTTAGAGCCCAACGTGCAAGGAACTTACCTCCTGACTCCATTGATCTTTCCCATGTTTGATAGCTGGAATCACCGACATACGACTTCGCCGACGAGGTCCACTTCAAGCAGCTGATTCGCGAGAAGCTAGCTGGCAATCAGGAGGAGATGCCACGCATTAAGTCCAAGGGCTCTGTTCTGATGGAGTTGGCTCACGAAATGAAGCTGGTGAAGGAAGAGATCGCCAACTCCAAAACCGGTCAGTGATGGTGCGGTGGGCAGACCGACAAGAGCAAGGTGGGGATATATTCGTTGTCATAAAAGTTCAGCTGAATGTTAAGATAAGTCCGAACAGTAACCAGCACTGCGGATGGATTAATTGCAAATTACAGTCTGGACCATCGTCCTTGCGCTCCATCGTGTATTGGGTGTGTCACCGTCAAATGTTTTCTCGAAACAAATTGACTGGGCGGGATGTGCATGCAATGTTTTATTTTGTACAAAATGGTGCGGGAGACTTTATTCGAAAAATACACTCTTGAACTGCAACAACTGTGCAGTACCCGAAACACCACGAATTATGCACTTAACTCTTACTTATGTGACCCACTGACCAATACACAGATCTTAATGATGACTTGGTGATGACTTAACCCTTGCCCTGGCAGGAGGTCGATGTAATCCCCTTCCTATGTTTTTTTTTTAGAATACCCCTCCGGCCAATTTTTGCGATCGTACCCGAACTGTCAGTGGCCTATGTGACATCCATTGCACATGTATTGATGCCAAAAACGTCTCGCTAGCTAGCCTGGTTTCGGAGCAGCGGTGATCTTGAGAATCACCTCGCGTCGATTTATGGCTTGGCGCGGCCGGCGACGGCAACGGGCGATGCCGCGGGACGTGCTCGGCGGGTCGACAGTGTCACATGAACGAAGCTGTGTATCACAAACGTATGCTCAAAACCTACAAAAACTATACATCATTGTATTCAGAGTCAAACAAGGAACGCGGCTTCGTAGATAGTGCGTCGCCGCAATACATGGACTCGTATGTATGATGTAAAGCTGAAAGGTGCGATTTTCGGGGAGATTTCACCTTGACCTGGTATAATGGAATCAATTATTGGTCTAACAAAACGGCAATTAACTAGTACTATTCGTGAGATCTCATGGTATCAATCCACTGGTGTTTTTGCTAAGCTCCTTCTTCATCATTTTTGAAACACCAGGGGGTCGCATCAAACCCTCCCTCCCCCCCCCCGTTCCCATCAGTTCGCGTTATGAAAAACGGCGAATCATGGCGATTGTTAACTCGAATGATGGTTCAGTCGAAATGGTCTGTTCCAGGGGACTTCGACCATCGCAAGTCAGTGGTGGTAGACCTGCACAGCGACTTCCGCTCTCGTCTGTGGACTGGCTCCGTGTCGGAGGGACCCAAATCTTCCAAGGTATCCAGAATATGCGTGGTGTGATTAGCTCCTTTTCCAAGAGTGTTTACCAAGTAGCGTGTGGAACTGTGCGCTGTATGGTCTAAACAAAGTCTGATTTCTCCAAAGCTATCTAATGGGTCGTTAGTGTGACTGTTCGATGGCCAGGCCTGTCGCCTGTTCCGGCTCGAATTCGTGCACGCGTGATCATGAGCCGTTGTCTGACTGCCGTTGGCGCGTCAAGAGACGACGCAGCAGTGCTGAGCTTCCGCACCTGTGCAAGCGACATCATGCTTCATGAGGTTTCGGCAGCCGTGTAACCCGACACGTCGGGACCTGAGCTCCAAATGCTTTTGGCGTTTGCACCCTCCACTGCGCAGTGCCAACGTTCGCGACCACCGTTTTGCAATATGCTGTCCGCGGGGGTCATGTCTCGGTCTTCTCAACATGAACTATCTTACCCATTTTCATAACCAAATCAGCGCATTTTGGGCATCAGCCAAAGGGATGCGATCGTCCGCCAATAACCGATTGCTTTCAAGCGACGGTTGTACATACCACGACTTGTATCAAATGTAAAAAACGCCCGCCCCGTTCTGATACAGCGGTCGTGTCCCCTCCCCAGAGCCCAGACCAACCCCCCAGACCACTGCATCGGTCCGCCCGATCCCAGTAGACCAATGCATCAGTCCGCCCGATCCCAGTAGACCCACACAGACCGCTGTACCAGCCCGCCCCGACCCGGCCGTCCCGGACGCCGTCCCCGTCGGCACAGCTGACCGGCGTGCCCCGGCCTGTAGGTCTAGCCAGCGTTCGCTGCAGCGGGA